GCTTGCTTCAGTGCTCCAAGTGCACAGGGTTTAGGGTTTAGGGTTTAGGGTTTAGGGTTTAGGGGTTTAGGGTTTAGGGGTTTAGGGTTTAGGGTTTAGGGTAAGCCCTGGAAACCCGTAGTCCCACGCCCCTGTATTTGTTGAACCTTATTTAAATTAATCCCTAAACCCCTAAACCCAAAAACCTTGAATCTCAACCTGGCCTCATAGGCACTGTGGTGCCAACGATGACAAGGTTGACTTGACATGGAAAGCCAGTGGGGACCTATGCATGATGTCTGTCAATTTACAGTCGTGTGTCATCTTCATAATTTGACATTGCACCTAGGCTGGCCCAAATCCGCGCTGCACTTCTTCGACCATGTCGAGGTTTCCGAACCTTAATTAATTTGAAACCCTAAAGCCTAAACAGCCTTAAACCCAAAACCCTCAAACCCTTAATTCAGAACCACCATCCAAAAGCCTCAAAAGCCCCCTGTCGCTCGCAGAACTGCTGTTTCAACGAGACCTACCTTGCTTGTTACAAGCAGCTGCTGAAGAACAGAAAGCAGGCCGGTGCGGCTGTGAATTTAGGGTTTAAGCCTGTCTTACGAGAAAGAGCCTGAGGTTTTAGGATGTAGGGTTTGAAGATCATGCTTAAGGTAGGGGTTTGGGTTTAGGCTTTCGGGCTTGGATTTTGGAGTTTGGTTTTAGTGCTGTGGCTTTGGAGTTTCGAGTTTGGTTTTGGAGTTTGGGTTGAATATTTAAACACGAACCCTAAACCCTTTAACCCTTAACCCCTTTACCCTAAACTCTGTAGTCTGCAGTACTGACGACTCAGTAAGATTAAAACAAAGCCTGAGGCCCCCGACTGGCCGGATCATGCAGACATTGACCGGCCGGTGCAAGAAGCCTTGGAGTGGTAAGCTTAGTCAGCTCCTGGGTTGTTATTCAATAAAGACGATGTTCCTAGGAATGTCCCAACTCCCAGGCTGTATGAAGATGAAGAAAAGCAGCGCAAGAAGGCTGGGCTTCACTAGTCGTACTCACAACTAGCCTAGCTTCTGAACCCTACCTTAAACCCCACACCCCACCCTCTTAGTCTCAGCCCTAGGTTTAAATTATTGATTTAATTGTTACTTTTGGGTGGCAGGCTGCAGGCGAGCTGCAGGAGATGGAAAAAAATCTCGCCGTGAATGATGATGCAGATGAAGAGAAGCCCAAAGGTGCAGAGGTGGAGAAGCACGCCCACCTGAAGGACCGCTGTGTTTGGGTGACTGCTGCTATCTGTATGTTGCTCATTGATTATTCCACAATGACTCTGACTGGCAAGGCTTGCTCGAGCCCGCAGCACGAGACTACTTAGCTACTTAGCCTTGGCTTAGACATCCATGGAAAAGATCCATGCGGGGTGGTCTGTAACCTTCAAGTTTCGGGATGATGATCCGGAATTCTTGACCGTGTATGTGGAGAAGCAGCCGGTGAAAGCTCGTGATGATCCAAAACATGGTGGCAACCCTCCAGGAAATCCGCCGGGCAACCCTCCACCAAAGTCTGGTAAGCCCGAAGGACCGCGACCGGCCAATGATGACTTTCTTGGCCCTGCAGATGTGCCACGACCAGAGCATGAGACAAGCACGGAGTCTCCAGGAACACCCGAAGATATCGTCCCCAGTGATGACAAACAAACGAGCAGGGAGAAGAGCAAGACTAAACCCAAGGACAAGACTGAGGCCAAGAATGTTAAATCCAAGGATGCCAATGCTAAGGCTACGGCGAAAAAGCCCTCCTCTAATCCGAAGTTGGCCGTGAAGAGGAAGCCGGCCAAGAAGTTCTGAAGTGTCACCTCGTTGTGACCATGGCTGCGAGAGCTTTTGCAAAAGGAGTGCTGACGTCGTTCTAGTCTTAGGGGTTTCAAGGGTTTAGGGTTTAAGGGGTTTTAGGGTTAAGGGATTTAGGGTTTAGTCTAGTCTAGGGCTTAAAGTATTTGTCTGTGGCAGGTGGCACTTCCGGGCGACACAAAGAACAAAGCCCCTCCGAAGTTGGACGATGATGCCACCAGGAAGCTGCTGATGCTTTTCGGCATGCATTTCAAGAAAGCTTTGGCCCCGAATGTAGAACTCAATTCTAGAAGACTAAGATTTCAGAGTAGACTAAGACTAGGTAGTTTAAAGGGTTTAGGGTTTAGGGTTTGGGGTTTAGGGTTTAGGGTTTAGGGTTTAGTAGTTTAGGGTTTAGTTTAGGGTACTAGTAGTAGTAGTAGTAGTGGTACTACTAGTAGTAGTAGTAGTAGTAGTAGTAGTAGTAGTAGAACTACGACATGCCGCGCAGTCGATCGCTTTCAAGATCATCGTACCTTCAATCCAGATTGTGTGGCCGTGACATGTCTCTGGCAATCTTCAGCTCATTGGAGATGGCATCCTACCGGCTCAGGATCTTGCCCAGCCTGATGTCATCAGCAGCAGTAGCATCTCAAGTAGTAAATTGGAGTAATTAAGACGAGAACCTAAACTGTGTCAATTAGCAATGTAGTGGTAGTCATAGTCCGTGATAAGAAATGTAATATTATTATACTCGGTAT